GCAGATACAAGGTCTCATGCTCAGGCATCAGATTTGCAGAAATATTTATTTGAATTTCTGAAAGTTTCCCTCGTTTGCCTGTTTACTCTCCGAAGCCGCTGTCACTGGAAACTACATTTCCCAGGCTCCCTTGCTCTCTGGCTTCCAGTAGATTTCACCAATGGGAGGCCCCGGTGGAACATGTTGATGAGGCCAGGGTATTTCTTAAAGACTAAAGTCCAGAGAACAATATAAAATTGGTGTAACAAATAACCAAATTAAAGCAAACAAAGCCTCCAAAGAGACAGGCAGTTTTTAGCTCTTTGGGCTACTAGACCACTGGTTGCATTGTGTAATTAGATCATTACTTTTACGGTAATAGCAGCAAACAGCAACTAACCCTTCGGATTGGGCGCTCTTCTGAGGTCTTTACCTGTATTACCTCATTTGCCTTCCCAATAACACTATGAAGCTGATTCCCTGTGTGTGTCTTATTCTCACCTGCACACTTCCCCCATCCGTCCTTTTTACCAGGTACATGACCTGGGCAAGTTAGGTAATCTCTCTGTGCCTTGGTCTCCCAATCTACAAAATGGGACAATAATAGCACCTACCTCATGACATTATGAAGATTAAATAAAATAAGTTAGTGCTTGAGTGAGCATTACAATCTAATGAAGTGAGGTAGGAACCACATTCCTCCCAATCCAACTCTAGTTTATTTATTTATTTATTTATTTATTTATTTATTTGCGGTATGCAGGCCTCTCACTGTTGTGGCCTCTCCCGTTGCGGAGCACAGGCTCCGGACCCGCAAGCTCAGTGACCATGGCTCACGGGCCCAGCCGCTCCGCGGCATGTGGGATCCTCCCGTACCGGGACGCGAACCCGCGTTCCCTGAATCAGCAGGCGGACTCTCAACCACTGCACCACCAGGGAAGCCCCCAACTCTAGATTTGATAGCAGTAAATTTGGATAACAAGGAATATTTGTCTGATTCTGAGGCACAGCTTCTGAGTCACAGGTGAGATCTGAGTGGCGTGGTTCTTACTGATGGAGCCAGAGGACCGTTCTGTGGCTCCATAACACAGATGCCGGGACCGGCACCGGAAACCCGAGCTGAGCCTGTAGTTCCTGAGTGACTGGGTCCCACTGGGGCATCCGCGGAGTGCATCGGTGGCAGAGTCTCTACGTATTTCAACACTGACCACCTAGTATGAAAACAAGGTACTTTTAAAAATTGCTCCTTAAAAAATAGCTGATGCTAAATGGAGAGGAAAGAGAGCGGAAAAACATTGGGAAAAAGAAGGGGGGGGGGGGGGGGGGGGGGGGGGGGGGAGGAATACAAAGGGATAAATAAGAAATTTCAGAAAGAGCTGTTGGTTTGTAGCGTTCATGAAGAACATTTGAGAAGATGAGACACAAGGTGATTAGAATAATGATTAAAAAGTTCGATCTCAGTCCATAATGAAAGCTGTTTATAGCCACTCCTTCCCACCGACTCCCTCCTCTAGAGGTCATTAACTCCTCCTAACAGGTCTTCGTACTTTGGGCTTTTGTCTGGTTGGCAGGCACAGTGTCTGTTGTGTCTGCTGGAACTCGTGGGCAGAAGTCGGCAGATGCGCAGTGCCTGCTCTCCTGCAGCTCTGAGTCACGTGCCAGGGAAGGGGACAGCCTGATGCACAGAGGGGCTGTGCTCCAGAAGGGGACCCAGTGCCTGTGCTGTTCCTTTTCATAGAGAAAGCATGAGACCAGACTTGAATAGGAGAAGAAAGCTTTTCTGTGAGGGTTTCAGCTCGGAGCACCAGCCTCCCAGCACCTGAGAACATTGGCTGATTCTCCCACAGGGAGAGAAGCAGCCATTGTTCCCAGTTCATTGCCAGGCAACCCAGAGGAAATCCCTGGGGTCACTGGTTAAACAGCCCTGCTTGTGTCCTAGCAGTGCCTTTGCTCATGGCATTCCTAGCCATGCTGTACTGACAGTCCACACTCCCAGCATCACTCTCCACCAGACCTTGGCCACCCTCCCAGCAGGCATCTCTCCCCTCTGGGAGTAGGAGGAAGGCTAGGGAGGGTCTCACTGAGCAGGTGACATTTGAGCAAAAGCCTGAAGGAAGTGAGGGGTGAGGCAGGTGAGGATGTGTGAGAAGAGTGTGTCAGGGTTCCTCATAAAATTTGGAAAGTCGATATGAGAACCCGGCAGATGGGAAACAATGCAGGAGAATCCACAATAGGTGTGGATCATAGGACTGTGGGAATTAAATCAGCCCAGAGACATGGGGCTCATTTGGGAGGTGAGACAGAACCCTTTTAGGTAGGAAAACAGCACAATAGCGTGAGGCAACATGTGTGCACGAGAGAGAGACGGAGACAGAGTCGTGAGAGGTATGAGAGTATCTTTATGGGGTAGAAACAAAGGACGTTTAAGGTAGTGCTGTGCTGGTAAACGTTTAACAACTGATTCTCCAGGAAAACTCCCCCAATACTGATTTGTAGCCAGTTCTTGTTGTGTAAATACTCCCGCTATGGCCAATTCCAGGCTACCGATGTTACCCTGAACACGGAATAGAACGCAAGGAAGGTTCAAAATGACATGTAGATTTTCCAGTGGAGGCCTGAGAGGATGAAGACGGCGAGGGCAGAAATATAACTCTGTGGGTGACGTGCACAAACCACTGGTCTGTTTTGTGACCACACAGAGACCAGCTGCTCAGGGCCCCAGTCTCTTCATCCACAGCCTGAAGGACTGAGCTAAAGGAAATCGAAGTTTCCTTCTGTGTTCTCCCCTTCCTTTATTCTTTCCTCCCAAAGAGCCACTGTATCTAGGGCCCTTTTCCTTAATGGCCTTCCACATATTTCTTTTCTCTGCCAAAGTTGCACAGGTACCCAGTAGGGGTGATTCTCCATATCCAGGGAGTCAAGCTGAACCCCAAATGGAGTAGGCACAGTTTGGAGCATCCCTGTCTTAGGAGTCTCTGCTCTTGGAAAGGTGGCTCAGCTGAGTTCGAAATGCCCACCCAGTCCACTGGGGCTGCTGCTTCTGAACCTGGAAGAGAGCTGGTGGCAGGTGAGTGGGTGCGTCCACTGCCATTTCAACACCACATGTCTGCCAGGCCCACTCCTCTGGAAGCTTCCTCCGGCCATGGGGGAGTGGCTGCCCGAAGCAGGCAGTGGTCTGGCTTATCACAACCTAAGTCACCTCAATCTCTGCAGGTGGAAGCTGGCAAATCCCAACTTGGAAATCCCAACATCCTCTTCAACTGCCCACATTTGTGAATGGATCAACAGGTGAGAGATCATTTCTATCTCTACTTCTATCTTTATATAAGCTTGCACATGTTTATGTTAGGTTTTACAAGGAACAAAGTGCTTTCTCACGTGCTCTCATTTGACTGGTTTTTCAAAACTCTGGGAGGTGCTATTATCCCATTTTACAGATGAAAAGCCTGATTTTTCAGGGATGGCAGGTGACTCACCCCCAGTCAGACACTTGGTAAATGGCAGAGCTGGAATACAGACCCAAGTATTTTCATTCCAGATTCGCATGTCTTTCCAGAATATTTCACTGCATGTCTGTGCTGTATGTACATGCATATGTATATGTATGTGTGTACACACACAAACCACTTTGTATAGACTTATACAGGTATTGTTTAAGACTAAGTTGGGTGTGTCCTTCTTACAACCCAGCCTTAGGAATTTATCAGCTATTTCCTGAGTGATTAGTACATGCCAGGCAAAGTCAGACACCAGCTGAGAGCTGGCAGTACAGCAGTGGACCATCCAGACCCCCAGTCCCCAGCACACAGACACTAGAGGAGCAGGAACATTCTTAAAACCTGACCTTGACTTAAGAGGAAAGAGCAGAAGGGGCAAAGGGGCAGGCAGATTGGGAGGGTGTGCCTTCTAACCCCTGCGTGAGGAAATGGCCTTTTAACAAGGTAATTAATCAAACTATCTTCCTCTGTCTTGGTACCGTATTTCATTTCTTCATGCCAGGCTGGAATTTGGGGAGCCTGATCCTATTACAATTTATTATATATAACTCTCACAAAAGAAGTAGTGTTGAAAAATTAAATAATTTTGTTTGTGCTGTTCTTTAGAATTCCAAACATTTTTTTTTCATTTTCATAGTTAATTAAGGTACGTATTACCTCCATTTTACAGATGAAGAGACTGGGGTTCAAAATGAGCTTGGCTAAAGCCACAGTTTTCTTTTTTGCGGTACGCGGGCCTCTCACTGTTGTGGCCTTTCCCGTTGCGGAGCACAGGCTCCGGACGCGCAGGCTCAGCGGCCATGGCTCACGGGTCCAGCCGCTCCGCGGCACGTGGGATCTTCCCGGACCGGGGCACGAACCCGTGTCCCCTGCATCGGCAGGCGGACTCTCAACCACTGCGCCCCCAGGGAAGCCTCAAGCCACAGTTTTTAAGGAGAAGAACCTTGAGTCCAAGCCAAGAGTGACTTGAATTTCTGTTCATTTTCCACCATCCCAGAGGAATATGAGAACAATTTCCATTTTGCTGTACATCAGGGTTTGTTATTCTGGAATTGCTTTATGTGCCTACCAACAGGAGACAGGTTACATGAACTGTGATGTACTTGTGATGCATTCACAGTACAATACCATGAGACAGTGTACAGGATGTCCCCTATGTTCATATCTGGAAAGTTTCCCAAGATATACTGTTATAGAAAAGAGTAAGTGTATACAGTCTGCTATCTTTTAAGAATGAAAACTGGGGGAGATAAAACATGCGTTCATTCTTGACTCACATCAGCACGAATTAACAATAGGCAAATACACAAGGAAAATAATGTTACCTAGGGAGAGTGGGGTAATCCAGTGAGGAGTGGATTCTCAACATATACCTTGTTATTTTGATTTGGTTGAACCCTGTGAATGTATTACTTATTCAAGAAATTAGGTACATTTTGTACTAAAGAGAGCTTCTCCACAATAATATTTACCACCCCTTCCCTTTTACTCTCCTTATCCCGAAGACACACAGTACACACGAAGAAAGAAACCCAAGTAAGTTTTTAATAGGAAAAATTTGCAGGTACAGAATCAATCAATGATGTCAGAACACAGGTGCCAATCCATTTATTTCTGAGAATGGATGAGTTTGACAGACACTCTGGATCTAGGCATCTCTTTGTAGTGAGAAGCTTTTGAAACCTAAGGGGAGAGAAGAAACCAAAGTAAATGTATTTGGGAACTTCTTTCTTAACCTTCCTCAACATATGCAGAAAAACTTACAAACCTCTTTCCTCATAATGAGTTTGGTTCATTCTGTGTATCAGCCCTTTTCATTTCCTCATATACACACTCCCCATGGTAAGAGGACCCAGCCTCCCCGGGAAATGCTCTAATTTCGCTCTTCAGATAGGGCTGCCAGATTTGGCAAATAAAAATACAAGATGCCTAGTTAAATCTGAATTTCAGATAAACAACATCTTTTGTTGAATTACAGCATGTCTCATGCCATATTTGGGGGCATACTTATACTAAAACAATTACTTGTCACTTAACTGAAATTCAAATTTAACTGAGCATCCTATATTTTATCAGGCAACTGTAGACTCAGATGCTAACTGGAGGGAGCTGGTTAAGTGCACTTGAACATGTTAGCCCAGAGGGACAAAAAGTACCTAGCCCGGTGTGCTACCCATAGAACTTTCTGCATTGACAGACATGTTCTACATCTATCTGTCCAATGTAGAAGCCACCAGCAACTTGAAATATGGTTAGTGCAACTGAGTACCTGAATTTTTAATTTCATTATTTTATTTAAATTTAAAATGCCACATGTGGCCAGTGGCCTATCTTGGACAAAGTAGCTCAAGTACCAGTCATGTATCTCCCTCCAAATGTAGCAATTGGAATTTAAAACCGAGTGGTAGCTAAAAAGGTACATCACCCGGAAATAAACTCACAAATCCCTGCGGCTTAGTGATTATTCCGTTTCCGTGCAGATATAAGTTCTGTTGCCAACACATTAATTCTGAGGATTCATTCTGAGTATTTACTGAGGATGGGACATGCCAGGGAGTGGAGATGTATGATAGAATTTTTCAACAAACTTACCCTGTAGATGATCGTGTAAACTGTATAATCCAGCATTAGACTGTAAAAGCCACCAAGGTGCCCTATGTGCAGAGCAGGCATTGTAAGGGGATGAAACAGCATTGATTTGGTCACACACATCAGCTGTGTGACCCTTTTCCTTCCATGACTCTAAGCAAGCATTAGTAACCACAGACCCAGTAGGGTATTAGAGAGGATTCTTTTATACATGGTATCAGCCAGCAGAGAAGACAGGCCCTTAAAGGAAACTGAGCTTCCTGGGTCACTGAGGCTTATCAGGAGACATTAAGTCTGGTGAGGTTAGTGCAGAAACCTGGCAAAAGATAGAGTGTGGAAGACAAATGGTGTATATGGTACTTCCAAATTTCACTGCGGTCCTGGTAGCTGCATAGGGCAGTAGGCAGTGCATTAACAATGGTTAGTGGGCATTTTTACACAGAAATTCAGATAACCATGTGCTTTCTGGGCTCTGAGAGGGCTTTTGGGGCTACAATATCCATTCCCTGGTTCATTCACCAGCGAGTTGAGTCCCAGACCTTCTGTTAGATGTTAGGATGTCACAGACCAGGTCCCACTTCATGAAACAGAGAGTATAATGGGGAGAGGCAAACAACAAGGGAGCTGATAAATAAAATCTTAGAATGTATTTTAAAGAATCTCAACAAGATGATTGATAGAAAGTAACTTGGAGTGAGACGTGAGCAGAGGCAGGTTACTTATTTTTTTATTTTTTTGTGGTATGCGGGCCTCTCACTGTCGTGGCCTCTCCCGTTGCGGAGCACAGGCTCCGGACGTGCAGGCTCAGTGGCCCTGGCTCACAGGCCCAGCCGCTCCGCGGTATGTGGGATCTTCCCGGACCGGGGCACGAACCCGTGTCCCCTGCATCGGCAGGTGGACTCTCAACCACTGCACCACCAGGGAAGCCCGGAAGATTACTTTTTTATTTTACTTTCTATACTTGAAGTTACAAACTTAATTCATGCTCCTTTTAACACTTTACACACATGCTTATACAGGTTAACAATCTCTCCTCATATAACCTCACATAATGGGGCTTTTATTTCTAGATGGTAGACACCGTCTCTTCCCTAGTTTCTACTATCTATCTATCTATCTATCTATCTGATATTGCTTTGCTTTACAAAAGGTTGAGTGTGTCTTAATAAATTTTAACATATATTGCCAGGAAATTTTCTCAAAAGATAATATGACTGTGGCACTCCTTCCTCAGCCTCAGCATCCTAGGTATTATTGGTTTTAGTGGTTGTCTATCCATAGGTGAGAAATGCTATTCATTTGTTGCTATGATATGCATAACCTAACTTTTAGGAAGGTGAACAGTTCTATGTATTTTGGTTTGTTTTTTCTCATATGCACTATTTGAATTTAATAAAAGGTATAAAATATCCTGTTCAGTAATTTTTTTCTATTATTGTTTGCCCTTTTCTTAGCAGCTTGCAGGTCTTCCTTGTAAATGAAAGTCATTAACCTTTTGTGTATAATGTTTTACAAATCCTTTATCCCAATTTACTGCTTGTTTTCTACTCTTTTTATGGAATATTGCATCTTAAGTTTATTTTTGTCCTATGTGGTCTGTGTCCCTTCCTATGTGGCATTTGTGTTTCCTGCCTGGCTTAATAATGACACCTTCCCCTCAAAATACATACAAAACTGAATTTATACAAAGTGTGTCCCTAAAATTTCATCTAGTATTTGTATTTTATACTTAGCTCTTTAATCCATCTGGGTAGGTCTATTTCAGATAGGCCTGTCTGGAGAAGAGCTGAGAACATGCTCGCCAGAAGAAAAATCAGAGGATGGGCACTGCAGAGAAAGAGACCAACAGTACAAATGTCTTGAAGCAGCAAAGGGCTTGGCAGGTGGAAGAGAGATCAGTGTAGCTAGACAGGGAGATGGAGATGAAGTCAGGGAGGTGGGCAGGCCAGGGTGGTCATGGATGGCTCTTCAGGTCATGGTAAGGAGTATGGTAAATAAATTAAGATATGTGTTAAAGGTATAGGTGAAGTGACTTACAGATAGTTTGGATTTGTGGAGATGAAGGAAAGGGAGCAAGGCTCATTCCTAGAATTTTCGCTTGAGTAAATGGACTTACAGTAATGTCATTTACTGAGCTGGGGAGGATTGGAGGGAATAACAGGCTTAGGAAGCATAATGTAACTCTTGTGTCTTGAATGTATTTAGGTTGAGAGGTCCGTTAGGGCTTCAAGTGAAGGTGTCAAGTAGAAATTTGTATGCACACATTTGCATTTCAGGGAAGACAGCAGGACTGGAGATGTAAAATTGGAAGTTTATTGCATATAGACAGACTTTGAAACTACAGTACTGATAAAAATCATCAAGGAGACAGAGTAAACAGGGGCTAGTACTGAGCTCCAAGGTTCTAAAATTTAGAGCATTTTCAGATAGAGCCATTTTGAGATAGATTTTGAATGCAAGGGCAATTTGTCATGGCGTAAAGTCAGGGCCTGTACTTTCAGCTCAGGCTATCACTGAGTACAGGAAAGAATAGACATGCTCAGCTGCTGCTGCCTGGTGCTGTGAGAGTGAGGAACGTGGTAAAAGTTTAAGCTCCAACTGGCAGACAAGCAACATACAGCAGAGACCCTGAAACTTAGCACACTTGCTTCTTTCAGAAAGAACCTCAATTATAAGTAACATGTGTAAGTCTAAGTCTTAACAGGTGCTTGTTCTATCACCCTGCCTAAACTACAACTTAACTAACAACTGTAAATCTAATTAAGTCCAATGAATTTCTGATATTTTTTCAATATGACTACATTAATTCCATGTCCTAGAATTCGTTTTATTTTAAAGTATACATGTTACGTTCCAAATTCTTTTGGTGTTATAATGATTATACTTACTGAGTTTTTTCATAAATTTGTCTACTTATTAATGATACCGTTTTATGGGTATAAATATAGACTATAATCTGCCTTTTGGTAGATCTCCTGGTGATGCTAATCTTATTTTGCTACAAGATCAAGGTACTGAAATAAAATAGAGAGGGAAGAATACTGGGGCTACATGTGAGCCCTTATTCTCAATTTTGGTATGTATGGGGATTCCTCAATTAAATTCCTAATGTGTCCTAGTAACCCACATGCATTATACTTCACAGGAATATTTACATTTATAATTATAATTCAGGCTCGACAGGCGACAAATCCCTAGAAGGTAACCTACTTCTAACCTTAAAATATACAATTTTTTTTTTACAACTGGTTATAAAATGTATCACACTTGTAAAAAAGAGTTCAAATGATACATTTAAAAAATAGAATGTGAATGAATAATGGATGGAGTAAAGGAAAGGATATTGCTGCCTAGATTATTTGGAAATTTTAAAGAAGATTTTATATTTGGCGATGCTGTATCAAAGTGATCTGTGTTGTTCGGAATATGCTATATAATTGAATGATGATTCTGTCTCAGCCTCACATCTCAATAAATCCCTTTAATACATATCTTGTCCCTGGTGGCCAGGTGTCTTCAGTAACTGGAAGCCCTGGGTTTACGATTCACATCAACTTGCCCCAATTTATATGGTTCTCTCCAGGACCCTTGAGGCGTGGTAGATGGAGACCTACTCAAGGGCTGGAAACCAACTAAAGCTACTGAGAGTTTATTGCCCACTAGAGAATTTTCCCAAGTGGTAACTAGGGCTTTTGGATATAAACAGTGACATTTCAAAGTAGGAGGTGAAGAACTGTGTTGGAGAGGGGAAGCTAGGCCAGAGCTGTGAGGAATGTCCTCTGCTTGGGGAATAGCCTCTTAGCAGTACCTCTTAGGTAAGAGGTTATCAATTGGCACCTTCTGTGTTTCTTTGAAGCTCCCAAAATAAGTTGCCAATGCAAATTGGATTTTTCAGAAGGGATTTTCTACTGGTAAGAGAAGATATTATTAGCAGCCTTTAGTCTGGCATGTAATTATTACCTCTGGTAATAAACTGACCCTCTAGAACAAAGTACTTCCTGATGGCCCAGCCACTGACTCAGCTCAACGTTTACTCAATGTGGCCCAGCCACTGACACAGCTCAACATTTACTCAATGTCCGATTATCAAGTGTTTATTGTATGCCAGGGTCTATGCTGACTATCAACAATTTAACAAGATGTGGTCCTTGACTTTAAGGAGGTCTCAGTGAAACACACAAAATTAACACGATGTTATCATTCACTCTTAAGTAATCCAAAACAAAGTTTTGTTATTGGAGCCCAGAGGGGAGAATTCAAGTCCTCGCTAACTCCTTTCTTCACCTACCACAATAAATTAGTTTTCAAGTCCTTTGGTTCTTTTTTTTTTTTTTCCTTTGGTTCTTTACTAAACCATCTCCCCACTTGTCCCCTTGTTTCACTTGTCACATACTAAATCAAAAGTGTATTGGTTAACACAAAAATATGTGGCTAGCACACTGTCAGGATTTACCTCCCTCCCTTATGTAGATTCCAGGGAGATTACCTCTCCTCCTTCTCTTAAATTTTTCACAGAATTTACGATACAATTAGTAACATTCTGGTATGTGGGCAAAGTTAAATTCATTATGTATTGAATTTTTACTCCTTTCATTATTCTGACAACCTCTTAGGGAGCAGTTGGTTATAAAATTGCCAGTGGTTAGAAGTACTGACTTCCTGACCTTGGGGCTTAGACAAGTTTTTTATGCTGTCTTCCTGTCTCTTCATCTTTAAAATTGGGATAGGAATAGTACTTATCTCTAAGATTGTTGGGTTAAATTAATATGCTGGAAGCATGTTGACACACAGTAAGTGCTTACTAAGTGTTGGCCATTACTCGAGCACCCCGCGTTCTAATTTCAGAACCCACACTGCTGAATCCACTCTTTTCATCACAAGACAAGCAAAGGCATACAGGAAGAAATGGACGCCGGGAGAAGTTAAGCACCTAGCCCAAGGTCACCCACCTAGTTAAGTGTCGGAGCTGGGTTCAAAGGCAACCTGGAAAGTCAATGAAAAGTATCCCAAGGCTTATATAAAGCAATTGCAACCTAAGGATCCAAGTTCTCCAACATACAAGAAATGCTGGGCGTAAAGAACCCGGTCCTCTCAGTGGACCCCTACCTGAAATGCTGTGAGGCCGGACCTTCCCCAAACTGATTTTCATTCCTGCTATCCTTAAAAATTAAGGAAATTCTAACGTGCGGCCATCAAGGTGCTCACTTCTTTTTCCGCCTTCACCAAACACCCAGACCCTCTAGCCCCGGTTCTTTGGCTGGTAGTTTCAAGGCCGGGGTGGGGGTGGGGGGTAGGGGGATGCGCGGGAGGAGGGGAAGAGAGGGATGGAGGCTGCCTCAAGACCGCAAAGTGTCTCTGCCAACATGAGAATGAGAAAAGTGCGTTCACGGGAACCAGATTCTGTTTAGATTCTCTTTCCCCACACACTCGGATCTGAACGCTCCAAAAGAACTGATGCCACGCAAAATGCTTCAGTGAAGCTCCAGAGATGTTTGAATGAGGGTGCGTCTACCCTGGGCCGCACAGGTCCCAAGTTTTGGCCTACTCAGGCTCCTTGCCTACTCATCCAAGCACAAACTGAGTCATGCGGAAGAAATGTTTACTTGATGAGACTCAATCCCGGAAAATAGGATCCTAGGAATTTTTGCACAGTACCAGATCGACACTTTTGGGTTGGAGCAGCTAACTTACCAGATCCCTAGTAGTTAACTATTTAGGGAGGCCTGCAGCCCTACTCTATCCCTTTTGGGGCTGCGTTAGGGGCCTAGGCGTTTGAACCTCTATTAACTATAGTTCGTTGAATGTCAGGCACTAACCTAGGTTACAGGTGTTAAGCGGTTTGTCAAAAGAAAAAAAAAAAAATCAATGGAAACACCACCACTCTATCCCCAATTTACATACAACAAAACTACCAGGTTAGAAATTGGCCCCAAATCTCACAATTTGTAAATGTGGGGAGAAGCCACAATTAGAGTCTAGATTCAGTCTGTTTTAAGCTACCATTATGTTAACTCCAGGTAATCAATTTTTCAAAAGCCCCTTTCAGTACGTGGTAAATTTCAGATGATACGCTGAAAGTTAGCGGGAGCAGAGAGTCTAACTCCCTTGCGGGATTAGGAAAGACGGGTTGTCTGCAGCCTAGAACGAGGCTTCTAAGAGGTTCTGGCCATTTCACTCGGCATGTTCATTTGAGACCACCGTATATCCACCCCTGCAGTTAAACCGTGCTTAGGCTTTACTGACTAAAGGCAGATCACTCGACTGTCTGAAACGCCTAACCACTTCGTGGATCATTAGACCTTAACCGATTTACCGCGTTCTGCAGAGAGGCAGATTTCTAGTAACAATGAGAGCCTTTTCTAAAGATCTAGAGAGATTTTTCTTCCACTTCTTGTTATCTTGGATAAAAATTAACTTACCTTCCTTTTTCTTTAATATTCCAAGTGGTGTTAGCTCTTCCTTTGAAATAGTGGGGGGCTCTGAAAAGAGCCTTTGGGTTTGAAAGCACTTCCGGAAACTCAAATCCCTGTCAAATCACTTGCCCTTGGCCTTGTGATGGCTCTCGGTCTTCTTAGGCAACAGCACCGCCTGGATGTTCGGCAAGACCCCGCCCTGAGCGATGGTCACGCGGCCCAACAGTTTGTTAAGCTCCTCATCGTTGCGGATAGCTAACTGCAGGTGGCGTGGGATGATGCGAGTCTTCTTGTTGTCGCGCGCCGCATTACCAGCCAACTCCAGTATCTCAGCCGTCAAGTACTCCAATACCGCTGCCAAATACACCGGCGCGCCAGCCCCGACCCGCTCAGCGTAGTTGCCCTTACGAAGTAGGCGATGCACTCGGCCCACGGGAAACTGGAGACCGGCCCGCGAAGAGCGAGACTTCGCTTTAGCCCGAGCCTTACCACCTTGCTTGCCACGTCCAGACATCGCAAAATAAACAGAAAAGAAACAAACAAAAAAAGAGTACTTCTCAAAACAAACCAAGTCTGAAAGCAGATAGAACACTGCTGCTTTTATAGGCATTTCCTGGGGAGTAAATCCGATTGTCTGATTGGTTAGTACCAAGATTCACCTAAGTAGCCAATAGAAAAGCTTTATTTCCATACCTCATTTACATAGTTCTGCCCATAGATGACAGCCTTGCTGTTTGTCTTCCAATTAACTAAGACGCAGTCTGCATCCTTCATTAGCATAAAGGCCCTATAAATAGCAGAAATCCTCTTTCTACTTTCATTTTATTTTTCGTGTTTTGAGGTTTTAAAATGCCAGAGTCAGCCAAGTCCGTTCCTGCCCCGAAGAAGGGCTCTAAGAAGGCAGTGACCAAGGCGCAGAAGAAAGATGGCAAGAAGCGCAAGCGCAGCCGCAAGGAGAGCTATTCCGTGTACGTGTACAAGGTGCTGAAGCAGGTCCACCCGGACACCGGCATCTCGTCCAAGGCCATGGGCATCATGAACTCGTTCGTCAACGACATCTTCGAGCGCATTGCGGGCGAGGCGTCGCGCCTGGCGCATTATAACAAGCGCTCGACCATCACGTCCAGGGAGATCCAAACGGCCGTGCGCCTGCTGTTGCCCGGGGAGCTGGCCAAGCACGCTGTGTCTGAGGGCACCAAGGCTGTCACCAAGTACACTAGCTCCAAGTAAACTTGCCAAGTAAGCGTCTTTACACCTAATCCCAAAGGCTCTTTTAAGAGCCACCCACATGTCCACAATGAGAGTTGTAACCTGCTGCTTATTTTCTATAAGTTGAAGTTTGGCCAAAAGTACTGTGCGTTAATTAGAAGACAAAGGTAGAAAAATGTGTAAGTCCTATTAATGGGTCTAAGGAATGACAAGTGAAGTTGTTAAAAGCACTGCCAGGTTGTTGGGTTTTGGCATTGTTGTGTCAAATGTTATCCATTACCCGTTGCAATTAGGGGGTCACCGCAAGTATAAAGTCAGCTATTTTTTGAGTCCCAGTGATCAATGTACTGTAATTGACCTACAGCTATCTGAAGATGAAAATTAACTGCGTAGGTGGCTGGTGGTTTGTAATACGCAGTCGGGGTTGACGAACTGCTTTAAGAGATGCTTGCAACTTGGCAAGTTTCCATGGAGGTTGAACCGAGGGCTGGCACCGAAAGGCGGGGAAACTAGGCGGGAAGAGAAAGGAGGCTATTGAACTTGGCATACAAAGTCTCTAGGAGAGAACCTTCCCAAACCAGGTAGTCGCGCGGCGGGGAGGGGGGGTGGGGGGGGGGAGCTGGCAAGTTCCACCTTCCCTTAAGCAGTTTAATCTTTGTTCCAGGGGAAGATTTTAAGGTGAAAGAAACGCATTTTCCATTTAATTTATCCAAGTCTAGAACACATTTTCAGCACCTAGGAGTAAACTTTGCTTTCTCTGTAAAAAAGTGGGAGACTACTGGAATAAAATTTATGTTACAAGGAAAACAGGTTTTTTTGTTGTTGTTTAACGATTTGAGGTAAGATACAATGTGATTTAGATTACTTAACATTAAGACCCCGTGATTCTAAATGTGCAGTTTTCTTTGATCCTGGGAAAAATACTAAGGCCTGTCTGGCGCTAGACAGGCGTCCATTAGAACACGGCTCCACAGTTACTGGCTGCCTAACCTGGAAGTTACCTGAGAAATGAGGTGCAGCCCTGGCTTAATTAAGGTAGAAGTGCAAATATAGGACAATGGCACATGCTTATCACACAAGCTCTTCAGCCAAACTATAAAGTTTCCCAAGTCCTTCAACAACTGAAATTGGATTTTTTTCTATACCCCTAGTGAGCCTGCGCAAGGACTGATGATCCAAATCAGACTAACCTCTCCTCACTGCCAACTAATCAGTTTACCCCAAAAATGTGCAAACATTCACTATCCCAGGCTGACTACAAGGTTTTGTTTTGTTTTTGTTTTCTCCTTCTCTTCCCCTCTTTTCCTCACATATAAATTCTGGTTTGCCTTTGTTGGATGAAATAACTATTGCTTGATTTCTCTTCAATACAAGAGCAGACTGCCTAATCATTAACACCTTGGACCATTTATTTCTGAAGATTCCACCAAGAGATTGTTTACCCGAGCCCTACCTTAGGAATCAATAGAAAAGTGAACTGAAAATGTACCTTGTCTAGCCCTGGGCACTTTGAGTTTTCTGTTCATCTTCCCTTGGCTCTTGTATGCTAAAATTTATTTTTACCCAAGTCTGCTTCTTATTTTGGTTCTTAGATTGCACTTTGTCGATTGGATACACATTAGTGGTTTTATCGCTAGAGCATTAATTAGTTGGTGGCAGAGGACAGGGTATCTGGAATCTGGTTCATTTGTTCATCTTTTTTGGGTTGTTTGTGTTTGTCTGAGGATTCTGGTCATCTCTGGCATTTGAGAACACAGGACGAGGAAGTTGGTGTTTTTCTTTCTGGCCTTTGATGGGATCCACTGTGTTTGGTGTTTTGTGTTTGTATACTGTGGGTTCTTTTAACTAAAAATCAGAGTTTCTTTCTTCCTTTCAAAACTGTCTGCTATCGTGATTACTCAGTATGAGTCCAAATCATTGTCAGTATCTGCAAAAATAACATTCCTGCTTCAAAGATAAATGAATATAAAATGGCCGCCTAAAACTTTTAACTTTAATAAAGCGTTAGACCTAACAGGAGACTTAAGACAAGAAAGAAAACAAGGAAACAGCATCTCCAGCCTACAATTGGCCTGTCTCTTGCTATGCCGAAGCCTCTAAAGTTTATTATTCAATAATTCCAAAAAAATATTGTCCCTTCTTGCTCTTTAAGTAAGGTCAGAGAGGAGGGAGAAGAAATATGTCATTACAAATAAAGCTATTGAGTCAGAAAAAAGAGAGGGCTTCCAATACCTGTAGAGAACAAACATTAGTTTATTAACCTTAATGAGTTCATTGTGAGGGATATGGCACTGGAAACTAGAATTTCCTACCAAACTTAGAAGGATATCAGAGAATTTACTCATATTCCCAGCAGTGGTGTACCCTGAGGGATCTCTGATCTTAATCACATTTGTTTCTTTAACTGATCAACATACTTAAATCTCTGGTTGCTTTTAAATTAAATCTCTTTAAGTTTTGTTCCAGTTTCACAATTAGCTCCTCTAACTTGTACAATGATTGAGAATATTTTCTGCTTTATGAATACAAATAATTTTGAGCAAATTATCTACCTCAGCAGAAAATTTTAAAAGTTATAATGTAAACCTAAATAGCTTATATAAAGACTAAAAAACATACATCAATTTAAAATAAGAGCAAAATCAAATTCTCCAGATGCTTTAAACGTGCTACCTCTTTAAGTTGTAACTCAGACAGAAAAGAAAGTTTAACTGAATTTAATTAGTGGTCTTAGTTAACACATTACAAGATAAGAAACAAAACAGAACTACTCCATTATTTTTGAACAACTTAAATATTTTAATACATGGCATGTAATACTATAGGAAATTTAAAAATCACATATTTCTAATCAAGTTAACCCTTTGGATAAATTTGCTGGCTTAACAATTCTGCTTTACAAACTGGCTCTACATCTTTTTCTTTATTATTGTTATAATGTAAGACTAATGTTAGTATAGTATTCTAGTTTACACAAGTTTAGGGGTTATTTTCTTTAAAAAAAAATTAAGTTAAAATTACTAAATTTCTTTAACTCTACTGATTAGATGAGTTATCATCACTTTATTTAAAATTTTACATTATGTAAATTATGCATTGAACTAAATTATCACAAAATAGTGATAAGGTAGATAGGTAATGTCATTTTTAAAATGGAATTAATTTTTCTAATGTTACAAATCATAAGGACTCATTGTGTCAGCTTAAATACTGAGTTCAAAGTCTATAGATAACTTTAAAAATTTAGATAAATATTAAATTGGGTAAATTAAATAAGTTGGAGGGTACAAAATAAACATCACTAAAAACAGATCTATGCAAGTCTTTTATTTTCACATAGTTGAGAATGACCGTAGATTAACAGGTTAGAGAACATATAGATGCCGTAGGAGAATAGAAATAGCTATGCTTGATTTTGCTACTTTAAATATGTAGAAGGGATATGTAAAGTGTATATGTGGGCCCAGAGGACAAGGCAGGTTTTGGACGGCCTCCTGGTTTCCTTATGCCTATGAGGGAACACAGTTGCCTGTTTTTCTAAAGGGCTGTCATTAATACAAACAGCTCTGACTCTACCAAGTACTATAGCTGCAGAGAAACACAAATATGTACACAAGAAATGGCTATATTTGGTCTGTTTATTTATTAGAAAGTTGTTACTGTTCATTAATGTAGTAAATTCAATTTTATATGTATTGTCTTATTTATGCTGACAAGGTAATAATACTTTAGAGCTGCCATTAAAGACTGAATTTATAACTATATTAATTTATCAACCACCCCTCAATAAAAATTGACTATCCAAATCTCTCATCTCTCTGTAGCCCAACCACTTCCAGACTTCATGGTCATGTAACAAAAAATAACTCCAACACAAGCACAAACTAGTTCAAGTTTTACAAAGATGTTGATTATCTCAAAAACTTGGCAAGTGATTGAATCTTGCTATATATCCAGTTAGTACAAATTGAAAAACAATAAAGGTGGGACAGTGCTTCAACCATATCTCAAGAACCACAGCATTAACAAATCAATTTCATGTTATTGTTTTGAAATATATGGATCTTTTTTGCCACCTGGGAATACTTGTAATTGTTTTAAATAATAAAAAATGAGATCATGGATAAAATATAAAACTATTCTTATCAGAACATATCAATCTATATCACCCCCTAACTGCTGAGAAGATAATACAAATAATTTAAAGTAAAATTCCCAAAAGAACATAAACTTACTGTGCCAAAATTTTACTTCTAACCTTAATAATAATGATAATATGACTTACATCTAAATATTCCCATAAATTCTCATCATTTGAAATTGTACCACAAGATCCATGTGACTTGTCTTTTCTTCTCTTTTGACATTTTCAGGTGTCAGATATTATCTAAAACTAATGTAGGCTACACTGTCATATATACAACAAATGCAATCTACATTTCAAAAAAAGACTTCAACAGACACGCCTCTACATAATATACAATTAAAGATTGTATTAAAAGAGACTCCCCAAAGTGTCAACTTTTAACAATGCTAGAAAAGGCCATTTCCAGTATTTTTAACTACAAGTGTTGTAGTTCAGGACAAATGGATTTTTTTCTTTTTTTTCACAGCATAAACATGTTTAGAATCCTACCACTTGGATATACACTCTCATTGGAAAGCCAATCGTGACACATTAAAAGATTTCCAGAATTTTGGAAGTACGAAGCTTCCTCCTAAGATTCTACAGATCAAGATGAGATCTAGAATAGATAGCTTTTTCCTTCTCCTTCCCGTTGTGTTATTCTTTGTCCTTTTCTCCATTATCAGTTTTTCCAATGATTAGATTTCAGATTTATTCTTCTCAAGTATTAGAAAAAAATTAAAAATCCTCAGAGCCTAGCCCTCTATCTATACCTTGACTAAAAGTTCCTGAACAAAAGAATGTGTACTACATAATTTATTTCTCTGTATGGCTCAAATTAGAGTTACAACTGTGGTTAGGAAAAATGACACTTATTTAACTTAAATCCATCAAGGTAATCTTT